TAATCAATAAAAAAGAAATTAAGAGTAAAAAAAAGAATCTGTACTAGGAAACTGGAGAACCCAGTTTGGATTTAATTGCTGATATGCTCATCTCACAAAGGAATGAACTAGACTCCTAGTCCCTGAAGTGTATAATGGATTGGACTAGAAGGAATGATACTGAAAGTGTACCTTAAGTTCTCAAATCCTAAAATATAATCTCTCATGAAACATAAAAATTATTTACTCTGTTCTAAATACACAGTGATAATAGATTATATTAATGGACATTTTATAAATAGTATTCTCTGAAAATCTGCTTTTCTTATCTTTATTGTTTTAATGGTACATTAACCTCAAAGCCTAAGTATTTTACCAGCTCGATAGCATTTTTCCACTCCATGGCTCCAAAATTATGTAAGAAAAGGTTATTAGAATTAATGTGCAACAGAAGGAATACTTTGTCTTTTACTATCTGTTTCATTTTGCCAGTTTGTCCTTAAGAATATATGGGTGATCAAAAAATGCATTATCCTACATCCAAATCTTATAACACATCCATACCCCCACCCAACAGGAAAGAACAAGAACAATACCACCACTAAATTTAGAGAAAAACCAAATTCCAAGTGATCTGTAAGCAGAAAAATAAATAGGAGATCACAATGAACTGTCAGGCTCCCACCACATGCTGGTGTGTAGAGGAAGGGCAGTCCCGGAAATGCTGCATGAGAGAGAGAGGAGGAAAGTTAGCAGGGAGCTTAAGATTGATGCAAAATCATGCAGAAAAGAAAGTTTACCCTCTGGGGGCTAAAAATAAAATACTTTTCCTCCAACTTTCTAAATTCTTCTAGATGGGCTAATAATCAAATTAACAATGACAGATAAGCAGGGGAAATAAAAAATTATAATATATGCACAGAGAGAATTCACATAACCATGGAAATTCCAAAGACAGGGAGGCAAAATTGGATATATATGCCATTTGGACAAAGGAGAAAAGGAGGGCAATGAGATCTTAGATTTCAAAAACGAGAATGGGCAATTTGCAGGTAGTTAAGGAAGAGCAGAGCACACATGGAAGGCAAACTCTTGCTTCAGTGGGACACAGCGGGTGATCTAGCTACCAGGTCCCTACTTGGACCCCTTCCATCTACCATACTAAATTCAGTTAGGCTAAGGCAAACATCCCAAGATTTCCTTCCTGAAGCAGGCCTTTGCACTGAATTTCTTAGGCAAGAAAGCAGGGGATGGGGGGTAAGGGGGTAGGGTGGCAAAGGTTCTTTCTGAGTCATTTATTTCTTAATAACCCAAAGGCACAGTTTTGGGAGTGGCAAAACCTTTGTTTCCTTCAACCTCAAGTATGAAAATTCTCAAGTTTTTCTGGAAGCTCAGCCTTTAGGGAAGTGACTTACAAGTGTGCATTAAGACACAAGAAAGCAGTTTTGGAAAAAGAACTCGGAGATTTAAAAGGGTATTAAAGGAAAGGGAGAGTTGAATATTTTTTTTAAAATGCACAATGAAGGGAAAAAGAAGCAAGAGAGAAAATTTGTCACCCTACATGACCAAGGATGTTAGCTTATGAGGACCAATCAACATCCCCCCCTTCTAGCCCCCACTGTATCCCAAAAGTCCTCCAGTAAAGAACCATACTTGTCATACTTGTCATATGGAAAGAAGAGGGTGCTCTTGAGCTTAGAAACCAGCCACAAACTGCCAGCCATGTTCATACAATTCAAAGACGCAACCAAACTTAATCTATACCAAGCAACTACAATAAATTTAAATTAAAAAAACAATTTAAAAAATGACAGAGCAGGTGCTCAATAAATATATACTGAATAAGTAAATAAAATTCATCAAAATAAAAAAGTAGAACATAAGAATTTCAAAAAGGCATTTGATAAAAATTTTCACTAATAAAAAATAACCAAGGAAAAGAAAATGATTAAAAAATACTTCAAAATTAAATTTCCTCAAACAGGCATTTGAAGGTATGAAAAAAAATACCTTGAGGTAGAAATCTAAAAACTAAGAATGAAACAGACAAAAAATTGGTCAAGCAAAAGTTGATGAACCCAAGACAATAAAATAAAAGAAAAAAGAATAAAATCACATCAGAAATGAATATTAAAGTACCTGAAGAACAATAAATTCCTATCAAAACTGAATAAGAAATATTGAAGCAAAATGAAACAATAGAGAATGAAGGTGAGATAAAGAAAAAGTAAAAGGGGTCAGAATGAAAGTGTTTGAGAAGAAAGACCAGAAAAAAGAAATCCACTGTGCATATAATGAGAATTCTTAAAAAGAAAAAAAATGGAACAAATTAATATTTAAAACTATAATTTAAGAAAGATTTTCAGAAATAAAAGAAAGTCTGAATCTATATATTGATAGGGCCAATCCAGTACCAGAAATTTGACCTGGAACAGTCAACTCTGAGATATATTTAGACATTAGATTTTAAATATAAAGGAAAAATCCTCAGGGATTTCAGGCAAAAAAAAAAAAAGGAATAATTTAGAAGAACGATAGAATTATACTAGCTTCACAGTGAGAAAAAAAATGAAGCAAAGCAACAGCAAAGAAATATTTTTTTAAAAGATAGAATTGTTTTTGAAATATATTAAAAACAAACAAACAAATGTATAAAGATAGAAAACAGACCATTAGTTTCTAAAGCCTAAAGGCTGA